TACTGTATCAATCAATAATGTATTTGTTCATTTCATCACACAGCATACGAGTCATTTATGATGTGAAATGCAAATCAAGCATTTTAGTTTTAAAATAAAATAACCATTGAATAATTAGCGTGATCAATAAATAGGCCTAAACCGTTCCATTTTAGAAATTGCATTCATGAATGAATGACTGTTTAGTCTTTGATGTAATAAAGGCTTTACAAAAAAACATTACTCTCTGGTACGCTTAGAATTTACTTAGTGTTAATTTCATTGTTCCAAATGGTCAGAAAAATTATTTTGTAATCTAACGGCACCTTTTTGGCACACATAGGCCTAATATGCACGCAGCGCTTGCTCCATACTTTATTTTTCTTGATCTCCAGTATTTTCCACAAGTCAAATTTATTCCACACATCTCATATCCCCTTTACCTCCTGCGCAACCAGTAAACATTCCCCCATTTCGAGTTGGTCACGTCCTCTGCATCCATTTTGCTGTAACGTGTTACGGTGTTCAGAGTTTATAACCAATTTATTGATGCGATTATGATATGCTCTAGGTCAGGACCTATTGGTCACGTGCATGGGAAGCATACATGTGTCACGTAAAGAGAGCAAGGGTTGAGGGAATAGGGATTGTTTTTCCCTAAACAAATTAGGGATTTCGGTAACAACTTTTCAGTCAGAAATGGCTGTAATTATGTTGAAGCTTCAGCAACACTGACAGCACTATACACACACACTTATGTTCTGTGGTGGTCGCTGCAGCAGAGAGGAGAGAGAGGGAGGCAGACAACAGGTGCTGGACAAAGTCACTCGCAGTCTTTTTTCTTAAAACAGCGCAGCAAGTCTGAGCCAGGCGGCACAATCAAATAAATTGCAGTCGGACTCCCTCTAGTTATTTGTTTGTCTTAATTATTTCATCAAACAGTTCGCAAACAAGCTCAGTGCATATAGTGTATTTGATTAAAACACTAAGGATGGGTCTATGGAAAAATACGTTTTACCTAATTTCTTGAATGATTTGACATTCAAATCCAAAAAGTCACTTTCTGCGCACTTCTACAATGGGAAAATGGAAAGTTTTGTTTAAACCAAAAGTGGTGCTGTCAAAAAGTGATAGAATTCAAAAGTGAATTTACCCAAGGGTTACATTACTGAAAGCCTTGACCTTTAATAGAGTGCATCACCTAGACTGAATTAGGGCCTAACAGCTATGCATGGTTTGAGAATTGAGTATGCCTACTCAAGGCTAAGTTGGCCAGCATTTATCTCTGTCAGGGAGTCTGTCTATACACCTTCCCTGCTTTTAGCCTACTATTTATAAATAAGTCATTGGTTTAAAACATTCTGGTCTTTCTTTTTAAAAATTGGTGTGATGAATTGTAACCGGGATGGCCCAACCTAACTCTGTAAATGTCCCATCATAAGACTGCAAACTCACTATTAAAGTGAGACTCCAGTCTCACTTTAATAACATCTAGCCTAGTTTAATCTGGTGTTTCTAAGGTAAGTTCTCTGAACAGGAAATAAGGCCTAAGCTGGCTAGCCCTTCTCTGAATTATGCCTCAGAGGATATAGATTGCACAAGTTTATCTGACCTTCATCACGTCGCTCCAAGCCAGACGGAGGGTGTTAGCTGTTCAAGGTTGGCTCAGTATCATTGTCACCCATGACAGTATGTAGCATTTGACAGCATCAATTAGCCTGGTCCTCCGATGACCAGACCAACCTTCCGGTTCTGGTGGCATGCATCTCTCTCATGGCTTTTTCAAATAATTATCAACATAACATCACATTAAGGTGTAAGACGTTTACTGTATTACAGAGAACAATGGCAGGTCTATTTTGCTCCAGAGAAGTAGCTCATTGTTCCCTTGTTGGCGCAGACACTAGCCTAGCTTCTAACTAACGTTAACCTGGCTAGCTTGAAATCTAGCTAGGTTTCTTTAGCAGCTTGTATATAGCCCACAGCCCTTGCAGCTAGGACCACAGATTGTCCTGCGAGTGTGATGGTTTGAATCCCTGCTGTTTGTTAACGTTTCCATCTGCCCTGCGATCTGCCCCAGTCTGGAACTGCGAGGAGTAAGAGTGTAGCCTACGTTACTTCCATGACCAAAGCCGGTGGGAGTACTGTTGAGGGCAGTGGTGTCTCGCTGTCACAGGTAAAGGTCTTTTAAAAGAACAAAAATAGTTCTACAAGCAGTTGTTACAAGAAAATACACCACATGACCAAAAGTATGTGGACACCTGCTTCTCATTCCAAAATCATAGGCATTAATATGGAGTTGGTCCCCCCTTTGCTGCTATAACAGCCTCCACTCTTCTGGGAAGGATTTCCACTAGATGTTGGAACATTGCTGCGGAGACTTGCTTCCATTCTGCCACAATAGCATTATCGAGGTTATGATGTTGGGCGATTAGGACTGGCTCGCAGTCGGCGTTCCAATTCATCCCAAAGGTGTTTGATGGGGTTGAGGTCAGGGCTCTGTGCAGACCAGTCAAGTTCTTCCACACTGATGCTTGACAAACCATTTCTGTATGGACCTCGCTTTGTGCACGGGGGCATTGTCATGCTGACACAGGAAAGGGCCTTCCCCAACCTGTTGCCACAAAGTTAGAAGCACAGAATTGTCTAGAATGTCATTGTATGCTGTAGCGTTAAGATTTCCCTTCACTGGAACTACTGGGCCTAGCCCGAAACATGAAAAACAGCCCCAGACCATTATTCCTCCTGCACCAAACTTTACAGTTGGCACTATGACTTGGGGCAGGTAGAGTTCTGCTGGCATCTGCCGAACTCTGTAGTGAGTGTTGCAGCAGAGGACAGACGATTTTTACACACTACAGCACTCGGCGGTCCCATTCTGTGAGGTTGTGTGGCTGTTCACGGCTGTGTGTTCACGGCTGAGCAGTTGTTGCGCCTAGAAGTTTCCACTTCACAATAACAGCACTTACAGTTGACTGGGGCAGCTCTAGTAGGGCAGAAATCGGACAAACTGACTTGTTGCCAATGTTTGTCTATAGAGATTGCATGGCTGTGAGCTTGATTTAACACACCTGTCAGCAACGGGTGTGGCTGAAATAGCCGAATCCACTAATTTGAAGGGGTGTCCACATACTTGTGTGTATATATATATATATATATATATATATATATATATATATATATATATATATATATTGGCTCTGCCGTTACCTAGCTAGCTGCAGGGACATTTTTATAACGTTTTTTAAGCTGGGGAAGTCCCTATGTATACAGACATCGATTTCACATAGGCCTTACTAACGAATAGGCTATACATTGAAGTGTGGTCCACTGTCAACATAGCCAACTTGGCTGCCAAGTCACCACAGTGGTACCAAAGATTTGTATAACTAACCCAAGATATACTAGAGCCTGTCGTTTCCAATGGGAGTAAATTAATTATAGTGGGCAGAACAAACAAGGTGGGCAGAGCTAAGCACGAGTTAGTGAGATCCTATTGACGCGTTCTAGCATTTATTTGCTTATTTACGTTAGGGAACGCCCACTGTGTTTAGTGCCTTATGCAATAACTCAATTCGCCCTTGCACTCCTAAACAGCGCAATTTATAGAAACTTTGGCAAAGGGTAAAGTCTACAAAACGCAGTCCACTCTGTTACAGATTCTAGTTTTGGAAACAGAAAAATTTATGGAGATCAACTGTTTAATCTTTGAGAAAATTAGCAGAATGTCAGCCAAAAAATGTCGTGAGCCGTAAACGCCAACCGGATGCTTCAGATTTTAACATCCGGTTTAATATCTGGCTCATTGTTCTGTCTTACCACCGCAGATATAACAATGATAAAGTTATATTTGGTGCTACCGGCGTTAGCTAGCTAGCTAAGGTTAGCTTGGTGTGCTTGACTAGCTAACGTTAACAATTTGTTTAACTATGAAGTTGTAAACCATGTGTCAAATAATATGCCAAATATTTTAACTAGGTAACGTTAGCTATTTTTGTCCAACTAAAATTATTTGATGGCTAGCTAACGTTAGATAGCTGCCTCTTTGCTAGTGAAAAATGGCTAGCTAACAGTTAGCAAGCTAGCTAGACAGCTGTCAATGACGAGGCCTTCACGAAGGACAGTAAAATAAAGTTGACCCAGCGATTTTACAAATTAACACTTACCATGAGAGAAGTTCCCCTTCTCATTTTTACAATAACCACAGCGGTAGCCGTCATCTCCCCCGAAATATTCCACTAATGTGTAGGAGCTACCCGCTGCCATTTCCGACGACAGATTTGCAGCAAGCCACCCGGTGTTTTTATGAGCGAGCCGAGAGTGAACAGTGAACACCATAGAAGAAGACCGAAATATGAATACAAAGATGAAAAGGCCTATTGCACCCCCTGTCTCCTAAAGTGGGAATGCACTTTAGGACTACAATAAACATATTACAATATGGATAAATTATGGTACTCTTGTCTCTACTTTTGTTTGATGTTCTAAATCAATAGTCAAGAGATTCAAGTTCAATTCTTCCATTTGCCACACAGAGGAAGAACCCACAGTGGTTTATTGGATATGTACAGTAACATACATATGTAAATGCAGTATATGAGGATATTCCAAGTTTTAACAAAGATTATTATACATCAGAGTCATCATTCAGAATTTTTTAATATGGCTGTGAGAGTAAAACATGTGGGGGGCAGACAGGGGGATGTTTGTGAAGTCCAGTTTCGCAACTAACCTTTTTCAAACCTGTTCTGAGCCATGTTTTCCTCGGGACCAAACACCTAGTGTGCAACTCTATTGTCTGGGCCTAGTAAATAGTCGAACTGTATTTGCATAACAATGGAATTCAATCTAAAGGAAGCATGAGGTTGATGTGCTCAGTGTCATAGGGGCAGATAGATAGAACAGTTTGTGCTGACATGATAACTCACGTGATTTTAATAACAATGCTCTGTCCTTTTTCTCCGACACATAAAAGGCTCTGGGATGAGGACAGGCCTGTCCTGTTGACCTCCACAGTCATGATGGGTAAGGTAAGCAGAACATATAATTTTCCACACAAAAAAAAACATTACAGACCGCCTTTTCAAGTCTATTGCCATTCCATTTCAGATTTAGTCATAAGAGTTTTGTCTGAAATCATAATTGTTGTATGACTCCTGATTTTATTTTTGCCTGGTTCCAGATCTGATTGTGCTGTATAACCAACTCCTGTGGCCGTTGTATGGCATGACATTGACAATGACCATGACAATAGGTGTTGGTGAGACAGCACATTCAGATCTGGGACTAGGCTAGGAAAATAGAGGTGTTCTCCTATCCTTCATACCATTCTCAAATATATTTGCAGAGTCAATTTCATGTGTTTTACACCCAGAAAGAAGGTTCTAAGCTAGTTTGATTAAAATGTAGAGATGTGCTTCTGCCTGTATTCCCATTAACTTTAGAGGCTCTCTGTTCAGATCATCTTCTACGAGGGCAGGAATTTTGAGGGACGCCACTATGAGTGCAGTGGTGACTGCGCTGACATGCACTCCCACTTCTCCCGGTGTAACTCCATCCGGGTGGACAGCGGGTGCTGGGTGGCCTATGAGAAGCCTAACTATTCTGGGTACCAGTACATGCTGACAAGGGGGAAGTACCCTGACCACCATCGCTGGTCCGGCTTCAACGACTGCATCCGCTCCTGTCGCATAATCCCTGCTGTGAGAACGGCTTTATCTTGACCGTCATGACACAACATAACACAAACAAATGCTCTTGAATCTGTTGTGCCTTTGTAAACATTTATAACAGCTGGTATAAGTTTGGCATGGTTATATAGGCAATTGACTTGTCACAAACCACTATTTAGGAATGTTTGTAAAAGGTAAGCCTTGCCAATAGAAATTGACCAAAACAACAGTTTTATTTTGTTAGCCCTCCATAACATTGCAGGAGATATCTCTCAGGTGGATGCTGTCAGATGTCAGATTCAAGATTCCCATAAGCTTACATCAGCTGTCATGACTGATTACAACACCGGTTACTTAATTATGACAATATTATGTGTAGCTAGGGAGTTCATGAAGTTCCCCAAACTTTCCAAGCCTTCATACTAAGTGTTCAGGCCTAAGTCTGACATTGAAAACCAGTATTTCAGTTCTATAAAGTTAATCAATTTTCTCCTTGCGCAGTACAATGGAAACTACAGGATGAAGATCTTTGAGAGATCAGACTTTGGGGGCAAGATGATGGAGCTGAGCGACGACTGCCCCAACCTGCAGGACCGCTTCCACCTGAGAGACATTTCCTCCTGCAATGTTATGGAGGGCTACTGGATCCTCCACGAGCACCCAAACTACAGGGGCCGTCAGTACTTCCTGCGCCCTGGCGAGTACAACAAGCACAGCGACTGGGGCAGCATGAGCTCCACCATCGGCTCGGTGCGTCGCGTCACAGAGCTGAAGCAAAACAACCAATAAAGCTGTCTACTAGAGTGCTCTCTCTAGCCAGGCTAGATCTCTCTGACAGCCTTCAGAAGTCTATACATATGTACAGCGGATGACAAGATGAGTCCATCTCCACATATGGTTGATAACAGGAAATAAGGAGATTATCCTTTAGTAATTGGACCACTTAATACGAATATGGCTGGGCTGAAGAAAGCAGTGGCTTGGTATCCTGGTGTAATTTGTATACGAGCATTTAAAGGGCTTTATGCAGACAGAAGTCACTTCATACACACCCTCCCCTCACATTGAATAATAAACCAGTGGACTGTAGGAACAGTATATTTAATTGTGTCACTAATGCAGCATGCAGCAGCAAAGACAGTTGCACATTCTTCCAACTGAGCCTGCTTACAATTGTTTTTTAACATTATTCTGACCTATATCAAAACACATGAACTTCATGTGTCTATGGAAAAGTAACTTTGTTAACTTGTCAATGTAGCACTGTTTAGAATATAACACAATAATGGCAGTTGATGTTTGAAGTGTGAGGCAATTCAATGTTGGTGTTTTTGATGTTCACTACAAGTAAATCAAGTTAGAGCAATCAGATATCACAATCAAATAATTATTAATATCAACAAATAAACCAAATATATCTGTAAATCAAATATATCTGTGATTGTGAAACAAACATGATAGAGAACATCAAGTACCAAACTGTACATCATACTTATTATTCAAAGCATCTGTGGCATAAGGACACAAAGATAACACAAACCTTCACTATGGACCTGTACGGACACCAAATGTGACCATAAACATGAAAAACAGAAGCGGATAAAAGTTTATATATATTTAAAAAAAAATGGTAAGTCACAAATCAATTAGGGCCAGTTACCAATCAGGATTACAAATAATTTTACCATATAAACATTTAGTGGAGGATGGGGGCACAAATTGTACAAAACATACTGTCAAGACCCTGTGCATCACCCACTGTAGTGCAAAGGATTGTCATCAGACACTCACAACAAATGGATGGAAATATACACGCAACATGTCAACTGTTGGTCCCATGTTTCATGAGCTGAAATAAAGAATCCCAGAAATCTTGCATTCGCAGAAAAAGCTGTCTCAAGTTGCAATTGGAATGTCCACCAGAGCTGTTGCCAGAGAATTGAATGTTCATCTCTCTACAATAAGCTGTCTCCAACATAATTTTAGAGAATTTGGCAGTACGTGCACCGGCCTCACAACGTGTAATCACGCCAGCCTAGGACCTCCACATCCGGCTTCTTCAACTGCGGGATCGTCTGAGACCAGTCACCCGGACAGCTGATGAAACTGTGGAGTATTTCTGTCTGTAATAAAGCCCTTTTGTGGGGAAAAACTCATTCTTTGATTGGCTGGGCCTTGCTCCCCAGTGCCCACCCATGGCTGCGCCTTGCTCCCCAGTGCCCACCCATGGCTGCGCCCCTGCCCAGTCATGTGAAATCAATATATTAGGCCCTAATGAATATATTTAAATAGACTGATTTTCTTATATGAACTGTAACTCAGTAAAACCATTGCGTTTATACATACATACACAGTGCATTCGGAAAGGATTCAGACCCCTTGACTTTTTCCACATTTTGTTATGTTACAGCCTTATTTCAAGAAAAATTTCCCCCTCATAAAATCCACACACAATACCCTATAATGACAAAGACAAAACAGGTTAAGAAATGTTTGCTAATTTATGAAAAATAACAAAACCGAAATACCTTTTTTACATAAGTATTCAGACCCTTTGCTATGAGACTAGAAATTGAGCTCAGGTGCATCCTGTTTTCATTGATCATCCTTGGTGAATTAAATTGATTGGACATTATTTGGAAAGGCACACACCTGTCTATATAAGGTCCCACAGTTGACAGTGCATGTCAGAGCAAAAACCAAGCCATGAGGTCGAAGGAATTGTCCGTAGAGCTCCGAGACAGGATTGTGTCGAGGCACAGATCTGGGGAAGGGTACCAAAATATTTTCTGCAGCATTTAAAGTCCCCAAGAACACACAATCCATCATTCTTAAATGGAAGAAGTTTGGAACTACCAAGTCTCTTCTTAGAGCTGGCCGCCCGGCCAAACTGAGTAATCGGGGCAGAAGGGCCTTGGTCAGGGAGGTGACCAAGAACCCAATGGTCACTGACAGAGCTCCAGAGTTCCTCTGTGGAGATGGGAGAACAACCATCTCTGCAGCACTCCACCAATCAGGCCTTTATGGTAGAGTGGCCAGAAGGAAGCCACTTCTCAGTAAAAGGCACATGACAGCCTGCTTGGAGTTTGCCAAAAGGCACCTAAAAAGGACTCTCAGACCATGAGAAACAAGATTCTCTGGTCTGACGAAACCTCTTTGGCCTGAATGCCAAGTATCACGTCTGGAGGAAACCTGGCACCATCTCTACGGTGAAGCATGGTGGTTGCAGCATCATGCTGTGGGGATGTTTTTCAGCAGCAGGGACTGGGAGACTAGTCAGGATCGAGGGAAAGATGAACAGAGCAAAGTACAGAGAGATGCTTGATGAAAACCTGCTCAAGAGCACTCAGGACCTCAGACTGGGGCGAAGGTTCACCTTCCAACAGGACAACGACCCTAAACACACAGCCAAGACAACGCAGGAATGGCTTCGGGACAAGTCTCTGAATGTCCTTGAGTGGCCCAGCCAGAGACTTGGAACCCGATCTAACATCTCTGGAGAGACCTGAAAATAGCTGTGCAGCGACGCTCCCCATCCAACCTGACAGAGCTTGAGAGGATCTGCGGAGAACAATGGGAGAAACTCCCCAAATACAGGTGTGCCAAGCTTGTAGCGTCATACCCAAGAAGACTCGAGGCTGTAATCGCTGCCAAAAGGCACTTCAACAAAGTACTGAGTAAAGGGTCTGAATACTTATGTAAATGTGATATTTATGTTTATTATTTTTAATACATTTGCAAACATTTCTAAAAACCTGTTTTTGCTTTGTCGTTATGGGGTATTGTCTGTAGATTGATGAGGGATTTTATTGTATATTTTTTTTAAAAAAAATGCATTTTAGAATAAAGCTTTACCGTAACAAAATGTGGAAAAAGTAAAGGGGACTGAATACTTTCCGAATGCTCTGTCTGTGTATATATATATACACATACATACATACATAAACACACACACACACACACACACTACATGACCAAAAGTATGTGGACACCTGCTCGTCGTACATCTCATTCCAAAATCATGGGCATTATTATGGAGTTGGTCCCCCCCTTTGCTGCTATAACAGCCTCCACTCTTCTGGGAAGGCTTTCCACTAGATGTTGGAACATTGCTGCGGGGATTTGCTTCCATTCAGCCACAACAGCATTAGGGAGGTCGGCACTGATGTTGGGCGATTAGGCCTGGCTCGCGGTCGGCGTTCCAATTCATCCCAAAGGTGTTCAATGTGGTTGAGGTCAGGGCTGTGTAGGCCAGTCAAGCTCTTCCACAGCGATCTCGACAAACCATTTCTGTATGGACCTCGCTTTTGTGCAAGGGGGCATTGTCATGCTGAAACAGGAAAGGGCCTTCCCCAAACTGTTGCACAATGTTGGAAGCACAGAATTGTCTAGAATGTCATTGTATGCTGTAGCGTTAAGATTTCACTTCACTGGAACTAAGGGGCCTAGCCCCGGACCATGAAAAACAGCCCCAGACAATTATTCCTACTTCACCAAACATTACAGTTGGCACTATGGTAGAGTTGTCCTGGCATCCGCCAAACACAGATTTGTCTGTCAGACTGCCAGATGGTGAAGCGTGATTCATCATTCCAGAGAACGCATTTCCACTGCTCCAGAGTCCAATGGCGGCGAGCTTTACACCACTCCAGCCGATGCTTGGCATTGCGCATCGTGATCTTAGGCTTGTGTGCGGCTGCTCGGCCATAGAAACCCATTTCACGAAGCTCACGACAAACCATTTTTGTGCTGACGTTGCTTCCAGAGGCAGTTTGGAACTCGGTAGGGAGTGTTGCAAACGAGGACAGACAATTTTTACGCGCTACAGCACTCGGCGGTCCCGTTCTGTGTGGCCTACCACTTCGCGGCTGAGCAGTTGTTGCTCCTAGAAGTTTCCACTTCACAATAACAGCACTTACAGTTGCAAGGCAAGGCAGAAAGTTGACAAACTAACTTGTTGGAATGTTGGCATCCTATGACGGTGCCACGTTGAAAGTCACTGACTCTACAGTAAGGCCATTCTACAGCCAATGTTTGTCTATGGAGATTGCATGGCTGTGTGCTCGATTTTATACACCAGTCAGCAACAGGTGTGGCTGAAATAGCAGAATCCACTAATTTGAAGGGGTCTCCACATACTTTTGTATATATAGCGTACACACACACACACGTTTGACCATTCTCTTTCCTGTGCAACCGTTCACCACCTCTTCACATTCATTTCCAGGTCATCTTAACACTCCGATATTTTAGCAGATACAAAACAGCCTCCTGCTGCTTTCATGTATGTGGTTTGTTGACCACCACAGTCACATACAGATCCATAGATAAGGTTGCAGTTTAAGCACTACTGATGAAAATGAACTTTGGGGTTTTCACTTCCCACGACAGCTCCTGTATTGGAGGGTGCTGGGACTGACTGTTTCCTAGCTGGGGAATCTCTGAGGAACAGGGATGTTCTCATGAAGGTACTTCATACTGCCCGCCTCTGAGAAGTCTGCCACTGTGTGTCCCTCACCCCGGAGGACCCACTTGGTGGTCAGCAGCCCCTCCAGACCCACGGGGCCCCTGGCGTGGATCCGAGCTGTGCTGATGCCAACCTCCGCACCTGCAACACCACAATACAGATCAGTATGTGCTGTACTAGACACACGTTATAATAACTGTTTATCATGAATATGCATTAATAAACTATAGTGCACTGAACATACTATTAACACAGAAAATGAAATACTGTACTCAACATGTATACGCATTTATAAGCATTATAACAAACTAAGCATTACAATTCATAAGTATACAACATTTATACATTTTTCATATGCATTTATAACTAGGTTTACTGTTATATTTTGTATGGTAAAATTATTTGTACTCACCAAGACCAAATCTGTATCCGTCAGCAAAGCGAGAGCTAGCGTTCCAGAAAACACAGGCACTGTCCACCTGTTGCATGAACTGTTCAGCTGTCTCCTCTGTGCAGAAAAACATTACAATATAAATCTATTATTCTAGGAATCTAGTTACTATATTTAAAATAATTTGACATAGACGTGACTTTTTTGGAACCCTATAGTGTAAACAAATGTATTTTGTTGTAAATAAATGCATGGTAGGCCTATACACTAGGACAACATTGGAATGTTGACATGCAGTGCTCTAGCTCTCATTGAAAACTGTGTGTGTGTGTGTGCGTGCATGCACGTTGCAGGATTTGCTCACCGTTATCTGTAACAATAACATCTGTGTGGGAGCTGCCGTATTTGTGGATGTGGTCCACGGCGTCCTGCATACTGTCCACCACCTCAATGCAGCACTCCAGGTCCCCGTACTCTGTCCTCAGAGACTTCACCTCTGACGGGCTGAAAGTCAGGTAGGAGGCAAACCTGGGGCCTGCATGGATCTTCACCTGTGGGAGGACACAAGACGTTACATTTTCAACGATGACTGTATTTGACCATGTACACATAGCTCTACTGTGTAGTTTAAGGGACATTACATTACAAATCAAAGAGGAATGTGCACATACAGTATCTCAACATTAGAATACTTTAAGTCAAATGTTTTGAAGTGCAATATCCCATTAAAAACTGGCCAGTGAGATGCTTTACCGATTCAAATAAACAAGACACAGTAAGCCTTTCCCCCTTACAATTGGTCAGATATGGTGGCAAGGTACCACATGAATAAGATCTTAATTGAATAATTTTAGCTATTCTGCTGTGGGGTTCTCTGGTAACACCAAAAGGTCAAAACAGAGTGTTGACCCAGTCTCTCCCTTTATAAATTAATGTCTCTAAATAGTGTGTGGTCTGGATTGTGTAATGTCTGTGATCTGTATAAGATACTGAACAAGCCTCAGTCTGAGTATGTGTATTGTCTACATGGATAGATAGTGTGTGTTTGTCTCACCTGTTCGATTCTAAGCATGTCTATAATCTGGTCAAACAGGGGAGTCCTCAGTAGATCTCTGTGGAGGAGTAGGGTCTCCATGGCATTGCAGGCCGCAGGGTAGTCACATTTAGAGTCTTTGACTGCAGAGACAGAACATTTATCAGACTACCGTTCACTTAGAGGACTGGGTGTATGAATGAGTACATTAATGTCAACTAAAGCTACAATCTGAGATTTGTTTTTCAGCTAAATGGAAGCCCTAGATCAGGGGTGTCAAACTCATTCCATGGAGGGCTAGTGTCTACTGGTTTTTCCTTTCAATTAAGACCTAGACAACCAGGTGAAGGGAGTTCCTTACTAATTAGTGACCTTAGTTCATCAATCTAAGTACAAGGGAGGAGTGAAAACCCAGACACTCGGCCCTCCGTGGAACGAGTTTGACACCTGCCCTAGATGCAAGGACTGACAGTTCATGACATACACAAGATAGCTTCACCATAAGTTTAAAACGACACATTGTACGTTGTTTGTAAACAATGGGGTAATAAAACACTCACTGATGTCAATAGCCTTTTCGATGCAGGCCTCAGAGTCGATGTAGACATGGCAGATGCCCTCGCTGTGTCCTAGCACAGGGATGCCCTTGGCAGCTCTCTGGATGTCTCTGACCAGCTGGGACGAGCCTCGAGGGATGATCAGGTCTATCATCTTATCTAGTCTACACAGGTCCTCCACCTCCTCACGGGTACTCACCTACATCACACACGTTAATAACGTACTTTATTACGATGCTAAACTCTAAAATCATATGTACCTACATTAGGGCTGGGGTCAATTCCATTTCAATTCAGTCAATTGTCTTCTCATAGAGAAGCATTGAGGAAAATGTGAATTTCAGTTACGTCCTAAAATGACTGAATTAAAATGGAATTTACCCCAGCACAAGTGTACTGTCGTTCTCCCCACTCAAAGGCTCTCTCCTATCTGTAACATAAGTGTGTCTAATACAAGTGTAATGTGTAACCTAAAACTCAACTCATGCCTCAGATATCCCATTGATTCTGATCTTACCAGCTGAATAGCATCCTTCACCCCGTGGATAGAGAGAGCCTCCTGGGTCAGCTGATGCAGGATACGGTTAGTGTTGGCCGCTTCTTTACCCCCCTTCAGTAACAGAGCATTTCCACTGGCAATGGCCAGAGCTGACACCTGTAGTACATACCGGTACAAGTCCATACGACACTTCAGTCACATCAGTACTATCATGTCTCTGAAAATAAAAGACAATAGGGTCCAATCCCAAATCGACCCCTAGGCCATATGTCCTATGTACTTAAAATCTGTGTAAATCTGAGAGGATTTGAGGCCTCCCGAGTGGCGCAGCGGTCTAAGGCGCCACTACAGCCTCGGGTTCGATCCCAGGCTGTGTCACAGCCGGCCATGACCGGGATACCCATGAGGCGGCACACAATTGGCCCAGCATCATCCGAGTTAGGGGAGGGTTTGGCCGGCCGGGATTTCCCTTGTCTCATGCTCTAAATCAATTCTTATTGGTCACATACACATATTTAGCAGATGTTATTGCGGGTGTAGCAACTCCTTGTGGCAGGCCGGGCGCCTGCAAGCTGACTTCGGTCGTCAGTTGGATGGTGTTTCCTCCGACACATTGGTGCGGCTGGCTTCCGGGTTAAGCGAGCAGTGTGTCAAGAAGCAGTGCGGCTTGGCAGGGTCGTGTTTCAGAGGACGCATGGCTCTCGACCTTCGCCTCTCCCGAGTTCGTAGGGGAGTTGCAGCGATGAGAAAAGATCGTAACTACCAATTAGATATCAAGAAATTGGGGAGAAAAAGGGGGTAAAGTAAAATATATAATTAACTCAAATCTGAGAGGATTTGACCAATGTAGGCAATATAGTAATAGCTTCACCTTGCCCTCTAATAGGCTAGGTTAAAGTTTCACCATATTGCTTACACCAATCAAATCCTCTCAGGTCTCCACAAGTGCCTAGGGTGAAGGGTCTAGGGGTCCATTTGGGATTGGGCCCAGGATTGAGCCTTGTGGTTTAGCAGCATGGCCACCATCAGGTGTCTGACCTGAGGAAGGCAGTCGGGCCGGGACTCGAAGATGACCAGCAGCACCCCGATGGGCACAGTGATCTGTTCCAGCTCCAGGTTGTTGGCGACTCTGGTCCTGCGGAGCACCTGGCCCACGCTGTCCCTGGACGATACAGCGATCTGACGCAGGCCGATGGCTAGGCTGTTCAGCTTCGATGTGGACAGACTCAACCTCGCCAACAGGGGTTGGGAGAGACGGCCTAGAGGGAATCACACTAAAATATAAGACTAACATTCTTATGGCTTATGTTATTTCATCAATTGCTGATACAGACAGCTTGTGTCAGCAATATTAACAGTATCTGGTATGATCTTAATTTGTGGGCCCATTGTGACCTGATGAAGCTGCATTGAGTACCTGATGAGGCTGCCGTCTCCATGTCTCTCTTGTTGGCACTGAGGATCTCATCCTTCTTCTCTGTCAGCAGGTCAGCCAGACGGCAAATTATCTCTCCTCTCTGGTTGTGTTAAATGAATAGACGTGTAAAAAAAAAAAATGACTTAAGTACAGCAGAGATAGATTACACATCAGCTCAGATGAGCACTCTATTACCCTTTTCACACTATCATGCAGACCCAAACTGGAATGTGCTAGCTCTGATATGTTATTTTCACATGGTCCTTTCCAGCACCGTGTAACCAGGCCAGTCAGTACAGCTCGGCACAGCTCTGTAGTGTGAAAAGGGTAAAAGAGGGAACTCTCACCTCATCTGGGTGAAGAGTGGCCAGAGTCCTGCCTGCCTGCCTGGCCATTTCTGTCTGCTGCTCCACAGTGGGACCTGTGTGTGTCACACCCCACAACAACATGAACCAGAGTGGGGCATCTCACCATCTTAACTGTTTCAGTGACTCTTTATAATCACTTTCATACATGAGCCATTATTTAACATTTAAGTCATTTAGCAGACGCTCTTATCCAAATTGGGTATAAATGCTTATACATTTTTTGAAATGCTTCCAAATTCTTTATACATTATTATAAATGTTACAAATGCTCATGAATTGTAATGAACTGCATTTTTACAAATAATGTAGTTTATAAATAGCTTATTAATGTGTGTTACTACTGCAGGTTGGAGTTTCTCTCTCTACAAGGTATCAGTGACTCACCAGCAGGCTTGACCTCAGAGAAGAAGGTGCCCACTTTCTTTCCCTCCACTATGTCTGTGATGACGTGGCCCGTGACTTTGGGGTCGGTGCCATTGGCAATGACGACCGATGTGCCACCCTGAAGCGCCCACAGAGCAGACTTCACCTGGGTGAGACAACATGATTCTATTAAACATTTTAAATGAAACATACCCCAGTACAGCCAGTGGAGGGTGTGTCCCCTCTGAGCCTATTTGCGCTCTAGGTTTCTTCTATTTAGGGAGTATTTATTTTAAAAAACTGCATTGTTGGTTAAGGGCTGGTAAGTAAGCATTTCACTGTAATGTCTACACCTGTTGTATTCGGCGCATGTGGCAAATACAATTTGATTTGATTTTCTTGCCTCTATGCTTCTGCCTTTGGGGCCTTGGTCCGAGTTACTGTAAAAGCACTTGTGACAACTGCTGATGTAAACGGTTTTATAAATTAAATTGATTGATTAAACCTTCTTTCAAAACAGCCAACCATACTATTTTAACACTTGGAGAAGTGTAGATGCCGCCTTCCTCCTCAAACTAGGGGTTGCTTGCCACTAACCTTTGCCTCCATGCCCCCAATGCCCACTTTGGACTTTGAGCCATATCTGATAGACTGCTGGTCTCCGGGGTAGAAGATATCGATGAGTTTAGCGTCATCTGTTCCTGGGGGGCTGTCATACAATCCTGTGGGATACAACATGGTCAATGCAAATACTTTTTATTTTAGCTGAGAGTAAATGAACAACAACGTAGCTCATTTCGAAATGCATTGCATACCTTCAACATCAGATAGAGCAATAAGAAGGTCTGCTTTCATTTCAACAGCCAGTCTTGCAGCCAAGCTGTCGTTATCCTTGATGTGTATTACCTGAAATGCAAGAAAAAAACATTATATAAAAACAGCATGACGCAATTTAATACATGCAAACAGCTCATGTATCATAGCCATGCACTGTACCCTAGGATGTCATTTTAAAGTAAGAGCAGCTTGCTGAATAAAAACGTGCTACAATAGGCCCCTCTACATTAGCATTGGCTCTGACTTAAACATAAGTTGAATCCTAACTTCCACATTAAACAGAGTTTTCACTTAGTCTTCCATTGACGTCAATGCAAACCTAAATGGAAGTTCGGATTCGCCCCTCAGATGCATGAAGAGGCACTAATAAAAGTAGAAATCAAAGCTAAATGATTTTTTTTTTTTTTTACTAATGCTAAACCAAATAGAAACATTTGTGTGGGTGGAGAAAGTAAAAGTAAAAATGCGCCTTAGGTACACTACCGGTCAAAAGTTTTAGAACACCTACTCATTCAAGGGGTTTTCTTTATTTTTTTTACTATTTTCTACATTGTAGAATAATAGTGAAGACATCAAAACTAGGAAATAACACATATGGAATCATGTAGTAACCAAAAAAAAAAAAAGTGTTAAACAAATCAAAATAGATTTTATATTTGAGATTCTTCAAATAGCCACCCTTTGCCTTGATGAGAGCTTTGCACACTCTTTTGGCATTCTCTCAACCAGCTTCACCTGGAATGCTTTTCCAACAGTCTTGAAGGAGTTCCCACATATGCTGAGCACTTGTTGGCTGCTTTTCCTTCACTCTGCGGTCCAACTCATCTCAAAACATCTCAATTGGGTTGAGGTCGGGTGATTGTGGAGGCCAGGTCATCTGATGCAGCATTCCATTGCTCTCCTTCTTGGTCAAATAGCCCTTACACAGCTTGGAGGTGTGTTGGGTCATTGTCCTGTCCGTATCGCTACAGAATGCTGTGTTAGCCATGTTGGTTAAGTGTGCCTTGAATTCTAAATAAATCACAGACAGTGTCACCAGCAAAGCACCCCCACACCATAACACCTCCTCCTCCATGCTTTATGGTGGGAAATAAACATTCGGAGATCATCCGTTCACCCACACCACGTCTCACAAAGACATGGCGGTTGGAACCAAAAATCTCAACTTTGGCCTCCAGACCAAAGGACAAATTTCCACCGGTCTAATGTCCATTGCTCGTGTTTCTTGGCCCAAGCAAGTCTCTTCTTCTTATTGGTGTGGTTTCTTTGCACTAATTCGACCATGAAGGCCTGATTCACACAGTCTCCTCTGAACAGTTGATGTTGAGATGTGTCTGTTACTTGAACTTTGTGAAGCATTTATTTGGGCTGCAATTTCTGAGGCTGGTAACTAATGAACTTATCCGCTGCAGTAGAGGTAACTCTGGGTCTTCCATTCCTGTGGCGGTCCTCATGAGGGCCAGTTTCATCATAGCGCTTGATGGTTTTTGCGACTGCAAGTTCTTGAAATGTTCCATATTGACTGACCTTCATGTCTTAAAGTAATGATGGACTGTCGTTTCTCTTTGCTTATTTGAGCTGTTCTTGCCATAATATGGACTTGGTCTTTTACCAGATAGGGATATCTTCTGTATACCCCCCATTCCTTGTCACAACACAACTGATTGGCTCAAACGCATTAAATTCCACAAATTAACTTTTAAGAAGGCACACCTGTTCATTGAAATGCATTCCAGGTGACTACCTCATGAAGCTGGTTGAGAGAATGCCAAGCGTGTGCAAAGCTGTCATCAAGGCAAAGGGTGGCTATTTGAAGAATCTCAAATATATTTTGATTTGTTTAACACTTTTTTGGTTACTACACGATTCCATATGTGTTATTTCATAGTTTTGATGTTTTCACTATTATTCTACAATGTAGAAAATAGTAAAAGTAAAGAATAACCCTTGAATGAGTAGGTGTTCTAAAACTTTTGACCGGTAGTGTACTCTACCATCACAACTCTGGACCACACTACGCATTCCCAGCATGCCCTTCAGAAAGTACCCACATTTACCCCCTGAAGGTCACTGTTTGGAACAGGGGGCGGTACAACTGCGTCATTGGTGTTGATGATGGGCACTATGTTCATGCGCAGCAGCTCGTGGAGGGTGCTGTTCAGGTTGCGACGCTTCTGCTCATCGTGGAAGTCGAGGTTCGTCACCAGGATCTATTGAAGAGGCATAAGAAAGATCTCAGTTTGAGGGTTTAACGTAGGCATATAGTCACTCTAAAAACATATTATTCTAGTTTCTACTCAAAATAGGTGTTCTTCGACAATACAGGGATGATTGTCAATACAACGTTGGCTAAGAAAATGCATAGAAAAACACTACATGAATGTAGTGACATCAGACAATATGCAATTCCATCTGCAAAGAATGATAGAGTAATACTTTTGTAAGTGTGGTTGTACCTGTGCAGTGCAGGTGCTGTACTGAGTGAACATTGCTTCATATAGAGCCATCAAGCCACTCTGTCCAGCAGCTGCACACGCCCGGGCCTCCAGAACTGGAAGGGACTGAAACCCAGAGAAATAGAGACAAATCATGAGTAAAAGTCAAGTTATTTATCTATTGTCCATTGCCATCCAATCTGTTGTGTGAGGTGACTTTATATACCATTTCTTTGAGTTGGTTCTGTCCAGAGTGCAAGGCTTGTCTGACGCTCTGAGATAGCAGGATCTCGTGTCTCAGTCTCTGCCTTCCGAAAGCAACGGCTCCACTGGTGACAATCATCATCTCCCTGCCTTGGTTCTGCAGCACGGCCACCTAAGGGACACACACATAACAATGACTTCTTCTTACACACCACATATTCATCAACTTAATTCTATCTTCAACAAGTCTTCTCTAAAGACCCACCAAAAATGTAACTGACCATTACCTCAGCAGTTTCTCCCCTTGAAATCCAGAAGATACCTTTCAATGTCAATCAAAACCCACATAATCATGTCTTCAATTTCAATATTCTGGAGTCTTCTATTTCTACATTATTTCTGGTTCTCGTTAGTAGTTCTTGGTCATTGTAACCTATATCATCAATGACCGGGTCGTGACCTCACCTGCTCCACAATGGAGGCGAGACGCCCGAGGGCCAGGCCACACTCATCTCCCCGCGTCACCACAGCACTGCCCAGTTTCACCACAATGCGCTTGGCCTGTCTGAGCTCACTGCGGTGCGCTGCTGACTTCCCAGGAGAATGGGTGACAAGGACTGCAACAGATAACAGGACATTCATTTAACACCAGAGTCATGTTCATTAGGGCAAACCGTAACAAAACATTTTGCAACGAAAAACAAAAACAAAAGTTTCTTAGTTCATATATTACTTGTTTTCTTCCGTTTCATGCCTACTGAACATGACCCAAAATAACTGTTTATCCAAAACGTACTGAAAAGCAGATCACACAGCGTAAACCTTGGGTTGTCTGGCAACAGCATGTTAGGTTATTATATAGACAAACATCTGAGACTGCCAAAGAGGTGTGTTATGAACCAAGTGTCATCTGTAGTGGGGTGCACCAGTGCAGTGTGTTTTGGAATGGTGGAATGGGGTTGGCTACTTACACTTGGTTTGGGACACTGCCCTGGCAAAGCATGGGCAAACATTTGCTTGCAGGCTCCTGGACCGTAGACTGGAACACAAGGCCAGCCTCTGCAACATCATGGCAACGTGACCTGAGGACAGTACACAGCTACTTATACATCACAATAAAGTGGGCATCCTTTAGGTTGATATACAGGCGTTCACCTGCTTATGAGTAACCTAAACCAAATTGTCTCGTTGTTGTAGCTAATTGGTAGAAAATAGCTTGGTGCACTGGCTTGCACCAACCGTTAAACAGTCTCAAGCACTAAAGTTAGCAAAAATATAAAACGCAACATGTAAAGTGTTGGTCCCATGTTTCATGTGCTGAAATAAAAGACCCCAGAAATGTTCCGTACGCACATAAAGCTTATTTCTCCCAGATTTTGTGCATAAATTTGTTTACATCACTGTTAGTGAGCATTTCTCCTTTGCCAACATAATCCATCCACCTGACAAGTGTGGCATATCAAGTAGCTTATTAAACAGCATGAGCATTACACAGGTGCCCCCTGTGCTGGGACAATAAAAGGCCACTCTAAAATGTGCCGTTTTGTAATACAACATAATGCCACAGATGTCTCAAGTTGAGGGAGCGTGCAATTGGCATGACTGCTGTAATGTCCACCAGAGCTGTCGCCAGATAATTGAATGTTCATTTCTCTACCATAGCCGCCTCCAACGTAGTTTTCGAGAATTTGGCAGTACATCCAATCGGCCTAACGTAACTAGCCACAGTACTGTCATAGATAAAATGTGTAACGTTGGCTATCTACCTAGCTAACGAAGTTGTCATGCAAGTCTGTTGATGTGGCTGCTGAAATGTCTAGAACACGTTCGCTAAATCAAGCTGTAGGCTACTAGCTATCAAAGTAGCCTGGGCATGGACCTACACACTATCGTCTGGGCTTGATGTGGCCAGCCGGAAATACACTTGTGTTCCCCCTCGACCGGTTCGTACTTAAAACAGTCTCCATTCAGGCTGCAAAGGCTTCGATTTCCTTATTAACTTTATTTAATGGCGAGAAAGCGGGAAAATATGCGACTACTACAATGTGGCCGCATCTAGCTTATAGCTGCTGTAGATAGAGCACGTTAGCTACATCAGGCTAGCATCTGGCTAGCTAGCAACAGACTAACGTTAAGGCAGGCAAAAAAAATAAGAGAAACAAAAGAGAGAATTCATCAAAAGACGTCTCACCAACAGTCAGTACTTATAAAAGTCGAAGGTTCCCGCTGCAGCAAAATTGACAACTGCTGAGCAAAGACACGACGTTAGAGTGCCACATCCACAGGTAGCCAGAGGCCGTGTTCGGAAACGTGTGTTCTTCTTCTTCTTCTTTGGCTTTTATGGCGGACTACATCCAAAAGTTGTATTGCCGCCGCCACCAACTGGACGGTTTGAAACCAAAAATACAATTAAAATAAATAAATCCATACTTAATAGTGATTCTAACAATCCACCCTAATAAAAATGGTACATTGCCAAAACAAACAAAACTCCCACTTCTTCCTCCTTTTAGTTCTCATATCTCCCTTCTCAGTCTCTAGGACCTGAGAAGGTGGTACGGCTTTTGCTGATATTCCATGTAACTCTTTTGCTGTGAAATCCTTCAGCCCCAGGAATCGCTCCGCCTCAATCACAATGATTTCAATCTTCCTAGATCTTTTCTCCACCTTGGTGTAACAGTTGTTAAATTACTTTGTGAATTTCACCAGGTTCATATATTAATATAACATGTTGATTTGTTATTATGCATGCCTGCATCCTGGGAATAGGGGAGTGTGTACTTACGTTTTGCCCTGCGTGCTCGTGCTCAAATAATGTTGATGCACTATGAGAGAAAGAGGCGACAATGGGCAGAACATATTTGTGCTCTACAAATGTTTTGTCTTTTCTTTTGGATGCAGAGAGAGTTCTGATTAATTAAAACAGCCTGATCTCCGAAGTCCACGTCTATAGTCCCAATCAATCACACACAACGCAGAGCTACAGCGGTGCAGTACAGCGCCGGTTACATTGGCAGTGCCATTTATCACCATTGCGATAAAGGCCACCTTTTTAACCTTTAAAATGTCAGGATCCTCTTGGTGTAAGACAACCCCTGCAGACTGCAGTTAAGGCCTATCCACTACCATTGACTCTTCTGGCGCAACATTCAAACCCTCAACCCTTTTCACAGCTTCTGCATATTAAATGCTCTGTACAACCCTGACTTTGGAAACCTCATTCTCTTTTACCCTTGTGGGGCATTCAGAAGACGTGGCTTCATGATTCCCACCGCAATTACAACATGTCACATTTTCTTCACTTTGATAACACATAATATGATATTTTCCACATCTTGTACATCTCGGCTTCTCCCTTCTGCGAACACTTTGTACATGACCAAAATCTTTACAATATTCACACTGCATTGTTCTTGGGATAAATGTTCTAACTCTGTAGTTAATATACCCTAACCGCACTTCATTAGGGAGAGACTACATTTCAAAAAACAAAATAACAGATAAACTCTTCACTTTTTCCCCATTCACCACCATTCATCTGACGTGCTTCAATCACTCCAGGAATATTTTTAATCTCTTCCTAATCAACTTCCCACGAAACGCCAGATATAACACCCTTAAGGGGTGCCCTGTTCCGAAGCGACACACACTTCACATTTATCAAATCGATTACGATACAACGCACGTTCCTTCTGTTCCGCAGAATCATAACAAATCTAAACAAGCCCGCCTCCCGTGATCCTCGCATCCTTCACTTTACCCAACACTCTCTCCCCCAGTTTGGATAACTCAAATGGTTTCTTCCAAGATTGGTACTCTGCTCAGCTGCTCCTTATTAACAAACCGTACTCCTACTAGATACGAAGGGTCATTCTCATCACTGTACCCTACTTTCTTCTTCTTCGATGAGGTTTAACGGCAGTTGGCATCCAATAAATGTTGCATTACCGCCACCTACTAGACTGGAGTACAACTCCCTTATACATTGCTTGAAAAAATAAATAAATAAACAAAAACCCTACTATCTAACACTACACTCACAAATTACTGTCTTCACTGCCTCAGCATATGACAACTTGACATATGACAAGCAATGTATAAGGGAGTTGTACTCCTTTCTTCACTGCCTCAGCATATGACAACTTCTGCACTACTCTAACCCTGGAAACCTCAACCTGCCTCTCTCGCATGGGACATTTCTGATCCCCAGCCCCATGGGCACCCCTACAATTAACACATACCACATACCACTACTCCTCTTTCAGGAATACCTGGGATAGGATAAAGTAATCCTTCTACCCCCCCCCCCCCCCTTACCCCAACCCCCCCCCAAAAAAAAAAATAATAATAATAATAATAATAATAATTTGTAAAGTGGTTGTCCCACTGGCTATAAGGTGAATGCACCTATTTGTAAGTCGCTCTGGATAAGAGCGTCTGCTAAATGACGTAAATGTAAATGTACTTTCCCCATTGCTACACAATCCTTTGTCTCATGCCCTTCTGAACACTTCTCACACCTAGGAACCTCCCTCCTACACACTGCTGCCACATGCCCATAAGCTTGACACCTGTAACAACATAATGTATTCGGCACAAAAGCTCGTACAGTATAACTTATATATACTGTACGAGCTTTTGTGCCGAATACATTATGTTGTTACAGGTGTCAAGCTTATGGGCATGTGGCAGCAGTGTGTAGGAGGGAGGTTCCTAGGTCACTTTGTCAGGCAAAGACTCAACATCAAAACACAAAAGAACAGACAATGACTCTTCTGTTTCACCACTCACGCCACCCTGTCTGCTTCGCACCAAATGATGAGCATGACAAACACCGGGAATCTTCCCTTTCAGTTGGTCTACTTTTACATTTACTGCCACCCCAATAATCACTCCTTTCAATGGCGCCCTTTTCTTGAGCAAAAAACAATTCACATCTCTTGCCCCCATTTGTTTAATGTGGAGCGCCTGCTCCCTCTATGAGCAGAAACACAAACAATTATCACAAGACCACTTCTGGTTACCCTCACCGATTCCACAGCCCCCAACACTGTTTTCACCCACCCTGAAACCACAAATGGATCAGCCAAAAGACAAGGTTCCACTTTTTCCAAAAACTTCACTCCTATTGTCACAGACTCATCTTTATTCTGACCCTCTGTGAAATCTTCGAGCTCCAAGAACTTCACCACACCTACCACCTCCGATACTTCACCCTCATTCACTTCCATTTCTCCTCCTGTCTTCAGCTCACTCTGCTTATACTTTCTACCATTGTCTTTAACATACCATCTACCTTTATCCCACCATTTTTAATCGACTCAATCTCACCCTCTTCCTCCCTCTCTCTCTCTCTTAGACCTCATCTGCCTCTCTTTTTCCCTCCATTCCTCCTCCGTATTCCAAGTTAACTCTCCTTATGATAATACTACACTTCTCCTGACATACATCTTGTTCTTGCCTTCTCAAGGGATGCCATTTAACCGGCTGTCACAATCTCTGTACAATCAGCACGAACCCCTCGGGATGTAGCGCTCAACAGTGCATCCCACAGAGCGCGTCTTGGTGCTCTTCTTAATCAATAGCTACCGCGACGCTTTTCCATTTCAAATAAGCGCGCTCTTCCAACCACCATCCACGGTCACTCGTTACGCTCTGTGTCGTCCCCCTCTATCTGTACCCTACTTTGCTCCGTTTTCCATTATTTTGAACAATACTCAAATTCTCCTTGATTCTACCGCCATTGTATTCAGATTCCACTTCATCATCCGCTTCCGACATCTTCCGTGAAGCTGTCAAAAAAATTATCCTCCATGCACCCTAACCCCCTCGAAACGTGTGGGTTGTGTTGTGAACAACATAACCGTGAATCAGCGGTTCGCTTTCAAAATAAAGGTCCCCCATTGAAAGTGATGCAAACGGATAAAACATTTGGAATCATCCAAGATCCATAGGTAAGGCTGTACATAGCAATATGAATGTCCAATAGACTGAATTGTGAGGTGATTTCTCACAGTTAAAGTCCCGAAATTAGAGCTACGACGCTAATATTTGTGTAAACTCTTTAGAATTGTAATCTATGGGTGGCACTGAGTAGGCTAATAAATGTCATGGACCTGTCAAAGTCGCGTCAATTCAAATCTGGTATTAGGAACAAAAGAGGTCAACACGACTTCTAAGATATACTAGTTATTTTAATTAATGCAAAAACCTTCAATGGTAAATATGATGTTTCGTATATACGGGCTCTCTGAGATGCCTCGCAGGACACCCCAGAGAACTAAATCCATTGTTTCAGATTGTTGCTCAAATACTCTGACAGAGAAAGTTTCCCACTTCTCTGCTGGCCAATCAGAGTAAAGAACTGAGTGTGGTTTAAACTTTACTCAGCCAATCCGTTGGTTCAGGGGTTGGTCTCATCTCCTCGGCGCCATTTGTTGCACACTTCAGCCAGGCACAAGTTTATCATAACAACCTATCATAGTGAGAAGAGCCAGCTCCCTTAGACATCATTCCTACGTCCAAGGAAGGCTCACAGATCACAAAGAACCAGTATAGTCTAGCATTTGAAGACACAATCCTTATCTAATTTTACCCCCTAAAACAGCTCTTCACATCAATCACAGCCTGCCAGGTGTCACAGCCTACATTAGCCCAGTCAAGAATGCATTCTTTCTAAGTTAGTCATCCCATCAATTTAGGAGAATAATAAATCCCCAATAATCCCCCTTTTCACACCTAATAAGGTGTGATTCAAAAAATAAGAAAACACAGATTGTCATTCATTATAATACAATACAAACAAAAAATCACACTTTTATTAATAGGCCATAATGATACTAAAAAATTCAAACCCTCAGTTCATCTACACCCCACTTGCAAATTGTTACCAGTCATCAAAGAACTTCAAACCATCACATAAGGAAAGACAAACATTCACATGGTTAACTTGATTAATAAAGCATAAAACACAGGATTAATAGAACACAAAACATAAGACTATTAAAACATAAAACACAAACAGAGAAGTATATTTTGGCCCCCTTTAGACACCCTCTAGTGTCACTCCACCAAGCCTGGTAGGTCATATCCTCCATTCCTAGGTTGGAGTCCAGGATTGGGCCGTATCTCACCATCTGTTGGGAAATCACCTTCTCCATCTCCTTTCTCACCAAACCTCAGACACAGGAAATAAGACAACATCCACAAAGAACAAGTATACCCATAGAGGCTATAACTTCACCCAGAATAGTTACAACAATAGTTTTCCATTTATCAAATATGTTATCAAACCAACCGTTTATGGAGCTATCAATACCAGAGTTCTCAGCCAGTTTGTTCGTCAGTGTAGTTACTCCC